TAAACTCTGGCCAGTCCAGGACTACCGAAAGCTTAATGAAATAACCATTAAGAACCAATATCCTCTTCCTCTGATCTCAGAACTGATGGACAAGCTCCAGAGCACCAAATATTACTCTAAACTCGATGTATAATGGGGATACAATAACATCAGGATTAAAGAAGGAGACAAGTGGAAGGTGGCATTTCGAACTAACCAAAGACTCTTTGAGCCCATGGTCATGTTCTTCGGACTCACCAACTCGCCTGCTACTTTTCAATGGATGATGAACAACATTTTTAAGGACCTTATCACCATGGAAAAGGTCACCATCTATCTCGATGACATCTTAATCATATCAAAGACTACAGAGGAGCACCGATGACTTGTGTGACAAGTCCTAGAACATATAAGAAAGCATAAATTATTTCTCAAAGCAGAGAAGTGTGAGTTCAAGGTACTCAAAACTGAGTATCTCAGAGTAATTATCAGTGAGGGCAGCATCAGAATGGACCCCATCAAGGTAGCAGGAGTCACTGAATGGCCAGAGCCATCAAGGAAGAAGGAACTCCAATCTTTCCTTAGGTTCACCAATTTTTATCAATGATTTATCTGAGATTACAGTAAAATCATCTGTCTCATGACTCAACTGATGGGTAATGCCCTATGGGAGTGGGGGCAATCCCAGCAGGCAGCCTTTAATGACCTAAAAAGGTGATTGGCAGAGGATGTGGTACTTGCAATTCCCACTCAGGATGGCAAATTTCGAGTTGAAGCAGATTCCAGTGAAGGAGCAATCAGGGCCATACTCTCCCAGTGACAAGGTGATAAATGGAGACCAGTCACATTCCTCTCCAAGGTATTATCCACTACAGAATGAAATTATGAAATCTATGACAAGGAACTGCTCATGATAATGCTAGCTCTAGAAGAGTGGCGATATTATCTGATTGGTTCGATGGAGATTTTTGAGATCTGGACAGATCACCAAAATCTTCGATATTTTTGACAGCTGCAGAAACTCAATCAGAGACAGGCCAGATAGGTGACAGAACTCAGTCAATACTAATATACCCTCCACCACAAGATGGGAACAGCTAATAAAAAGGCTGACCTGTTAAGTCGACAAGCTGACCATGACCAGGGTGGGACAGATAATGAAGGAGTCATTCTGCTCCGACTGGAATATTTTCACACTATGATCATGTCAATGGAGGAAGAGATCCATGAATGGATCAAAAGCACCATGCAAGATAGCCATAACTGGGACCAGAGAGTTGCACCATCTCTCAATCATGAACGAGGAATGATAAAAGAAGGGGGACTAATTCATTATGATGGGAGAATTTACATTCCTTGAGATCAAGGACTATGTGGTGATATAATTGCCGTTCATCATGATTATCAGACAGCAGGACACCCTGGTACCACCAAAACCAAGAAACTGATACTTCAGGAATATTGGTGGCCTAAAATGACCACTGACATTACCAACTATGTCTGGGCATATGAAGCCTGCCAGCATGGGAAGTCATCGACCCAGGCCTGGGCAGCCCCACTACACCCAAACAAGATTTCTTCCACCTCATGGACACACATCTCTGTTGATATGATCACCAGATTACTGGAATGCAACAGATACAATGCGATACTCATTATCATTGACTGGTTTTTGAAGGCAATCATTCCGATTGCCTGTTCCACAGAACTAACATCAGAAGGATGGGCAAAAATCCTATGCAACGAAGTCTATGCAAAATATGAAATGCCACAGACCGTGATATTGGACCGAGGGCCTCAATTCGTCTCTAAATTTTTAGATGACCTATATCAGCTCTTAAGAATCAAATGGAACACATCCACAGCATATCACCTGCAAACCAATGGACAAACTGAACATGTAAACCAGGAGGTGGAAAAGTATCTATGGATGTTCATCAATTATTGACAAGATGATTGGATAAAATGGCTGGCCCTAGCTGCCTTTCAGCACAACAATCGCATTTATTCTGCAACTGGGAAAACCCCATTCTTCATAAACTATGGGAGACACCCACATGTTTCCCAAACTCAGCGACACCACACCAAAACTCCAGCATCATTGGACTTTGCCTTGACAATGATGAAGATCCATGAAGAAACAAAACAGATGTTGGAAAAAGCCACCAACATCATAAAAGCCCAATACGACCGACATCACCGACCAGCACATGAATATCACATTCATGACAAAGTCTGGCTGGATATGACAAACCTCCACCTCCCCCGACCCAAGCGCAAACTGTCTGACAAGTGCACAGAACCCTTTCAAATCCTTGCAAAAGTAGGCCAAAGCACCTACAGACTCCAACTTCCTATAATATAGCAGATCCACAATGTTTTCAATGAAAAACTGCTGACACCATACATCGAGCCTGCCTTCCCCAAACAAAAATGACTGCCAGCTCTGCCCCCAGACATCATTGATGATAAAGAACACTATGAGGTTGACCGAGTCTTACATCACAAATTATGAAAAGTAAAAGCTAAAGAGAGCAGTACAACAACAATAGTCAACTATTTGGTCAGCTGAAAGGGCTACAGCCCTGAATCTAACCAGTGGGTGAATAAAAAATACATGAACACCAACAAAGCCATACATGATTATGAGCTATCCCTTAATTAAACCATCAGGATGATGGTCTTAACAAGGGAGTAATGTTACAATTTCTCAATTCTTATTCCCTTTTTCCCCTTTTTAACCCCTATTTTGACCCAACCAGGGTGTTAAGTCCAGCACTTAGCATCATGAGGAACAAGCTTAGTCATCATAAATGACTAGACCACTATTCTTCAGAAACCTATAGCAACACATGATGAACACAATTGCTCTTTTATGTACAGTAACAATGCCCAAGAACAGACAGCACAAAACAACAAGAACTCTACAATAAGAACAAGTATTATTAGATCTCCATGTACAGTATTTAAAGGAGCTCATTCTTGCTGGGATACCCCAGCTTTGAGCTAAAGTTTATAACTATACCATTCTACTCTTGAGCCTCTATTATGGCCTTGTGACACATCAACCCGAAGATACAGTTAGTGAACTCAGATGATCCCTTGAAGTGTGAAGGGACATCTGTTTATCACATATTTAGGTTCACATGATGCTTGGGTCTAACACTTATCATGGTATGCTATCATGACTGATATATGCTTTAACTGGGGCAACACCAGCTGGTATTTACCTTGCATATTTTTATGCCATAACTTGTTGTTTTTTTCAAAGAAATTTATTGTATAGCATATAAATTTCATGTAGTCTTCATCTGTATATCCCATTGGTCATTCTAGCTTTGTATGCCACTGTAAGACCTACATTAATTATTTATTCTATTAAACTTGTTGAGCTGTTCTTGGTACATTGACATAAGTTAGTGAATTATTTAAATCATAAGAGTTATCTGTGTCTTTTATCTCAATAGCAAGTATGGGATGAGTAGAGTTGTCTTAGCTATTGTATAACTCATAGTGTTTATGTAGGAAGTCCTCTATTCCATCTGATGATGGTATTGGATCTCCTTCTTGTGGTGGTCTTCTTGATAAACTATCAGGTCTATATCTAGTTCTGAGGACATGTACTAATACAAAATAGAAGGATAGTATTCTAATAATCTGGCAGTTTACTGCAGCTGAAGATGCAATGTCTGGATTTTTAAGCTTTCTTTTAATGACACTGGCATCTACTTTAATCACAAAGGTTGGAAGGCCTATTAGATATAGTTTGCAGTCTCTTAGGGCTTTACATAACCCATATATTTCCTGTTTCACTTGAGAATAACCATATTCTCTAGTGTTTAGGGTAATGTATTTGAATCTTGCAAATTTTCAGACTGCAGGATCTTTTAGGTCACATTGAGCTAGATAATAACCAAATGCTGCTGATCCTGTATCTACTACAAGAATCACTGTATCTGGTGAATTATAGTTTATAGACTGCAGAGCTGGACTAGTTCACACAGCCTCTTTTAAATCTTCCTGTGCCTGTATTTTTTCTTCTCTAAACTTAAATTCCACATCTTTTTAGAATAATCTTATTAATGGGAGTGACCATTCTGCAAAATTTTTAATGAACTTTCGCAATACTCCTGCTATTCCTATGAAGGCTCTTGCATCTGAGATATCTTTACAAGATCCTCAACAAAGTATTGGGTTGATTATGCTTGATAATGATAGATAACCAGTATATGTGTACTAGTGTTCTATTACTATGATTTCTGGGCAGCATAAGTATCTCTGCAATATTTCATGCATTGCACTATCTTGTTTAAGTTTGTAAAATGTTCTCAAACAAATCTCCTGATATCTGAATTTTCTGGAATGGTTTCATAAATATTTCCAATTTCATATCATGTAGCTAGACCTCATACTAGTATGTTATTGATATATGGAATAGTGTATTCTGGTATCTTGGATTGTAGTATGAAGATAATGTCATCATGAAATATTGATACTGAGTTTGTCTAACCTATTGGTAATATTACTAAGCATAATACTCTATAGAGTGTTTGAAAGGTTGTCAGATCTCATGAACTTTCTGCTAGGATTCTTTCATTATATCCAATCAATAAATCTAGTGTTGCTCTGCAGGCTCACCCTGCAAAATTTTCTGATAACTGATCTATAGTAGGTGGTAACCCTGAATGAGCAATAGTAATTTCATTGAGAGGTTCAAGACTATGAACTATTCTTAAGCTTTTTCTATCTTTCTTGAGTACAGTGAACCATTGAGACTGGTAGGAGGAGTTTGATAGCTCATATACCCCAGCATCTAGCTTAATTTTTATAATCTGACAGACTTTGCTATATATCTCTAGTGGTATAGGAATATTTCACAACATCCATGGCATATGTTCTACAACCAGTATGTTAATAAGAGAGAAAAAGTCTTATCTAAAGCTCTCTCTTTTTAAGCCTCTCCAAGCAAATTCCTGTTGTTATACTGTCATAAAATAATACATGAGTTTTCTTTCTTTAGGCTATAGGAAGTTGCTGTTATAGATTGAGTCAATATATTCTTTTCTTTCCATGATATACCTTAGTGTGAGTATAAATTCAGGTGGCTTGGTAGAAAGTTCAGAGAGATCTTTTAATGGATCTTCTTTGATATTGTAAATTATTTTAAATTTGCCAGGTAGTGTGGCCAATACTGGCTTTATTTTCAAGGCTACTGGTTTATACTTTTTGCTAGCATATATAGCTGCTGTTTTATCAAACCAGGGTTTATAGTTTGTATCACCATCTATATTTGAGCTGAATAGGTTATACATATACTCAGAGGGTTGAGTAATAGAGTGGGGTTGGATTTTCATAGCTGGTTATTATATATATGGATATGTTTTTTTCTGAATTTTTAAAATGAGGATGATTTAAGAGGCTATTGTCTATTTCTTTACTGAATGAGGCAGAGATATTGACTTTAAGAGGGTTGCAAGCCAGCAAATACTGAACTAGTAGCTGTGACCTTTTGAATTTGGGACAAATATGTTAGATCTAACTGGTATGTGATCTGAGCATATAATAAACTAGCACTGTATCATATTCATATAGTCATGTTAGAGTTCACTAAATATGCTCTGATAGGTGAAGTGCTTCAAGGCCAGAGACAAACTAGGCTTGAGAGAAGATAGTGTAAGATAAACTTATAGCCTGAAGCTGAACTACTATAGCAAGAGCTATCCTATTTATATACTATTTAGCTTGTAATAAATATAGCTACTATCTATTATACCATTCTGTGCTAGGATGCTGATCCTGTCTGATTGTCAGAGATAAGACAATGGAGAATTGTCTGTAGATGAGATGACTGAGTACAATAGTACTCTATCTGTTGTGATTACTTAATCCTTCTCACACCCTTCAGAAAAGCACCTGAGATAGGATAAGCACTCTAATAAGATAAAAAAGAAAAAAATAATAAGATATAGAGAAAATCATAACATCATCCCTCCCTTAAGATCATTATCCTGATGGATCAATTGATAGAAGTCTCATAGTCTTGTATAGCATTATCTGTAGTCATATCATATTTATAGATTTATTAATTGGATTCTAGTCCATATCCCTTCTACTTGACCAAATAATAGACAACAGTTTGAGTGCTTCTGCTACATGCTTAAACTTTCCACAGTTTATAATCAAGAATTTGTTCTATTTCATAGTGTTTTTTATTCTTGATCAAGCCTGATACTGATGGAGAAGGAGATTCCTGATTAGGAAAGGCAAGTGTGATATAAGGGGTTAGGAGTGTCTCATTAAAGATAGAGTGAATACATCAGGAGTTGGAGAATTTTAGATGATATATAAAAATACTGACTTTTGCTAAAATTGAAAATGATTCTGTCTATTTGTTGACAAGTTTACATTTCAGTTGAGAGAGGTGAAGGTTGCTGGTATTCAGTTAGACCTAACTTATAAATTTATAAAATATTATCTTGTCTTACTTCATTCTCAAAAGCATGAAAGAGATCTGTCACTCTTGCATGTCATTCTCACACTGCTTAGACCTAACAAAAGACTTCAAAAGGTAATTAGAAAACACTAATCATTTCTCTAAACCCCTCTAGAACTGCATATAGGATTCTGATAATAAAAGTTTATATCATATATAGACTGCACCATCCAGTACTCAGGTCTTTATGTGACATTCCTGTTATCAGAAAGTTTATGCACATACTGTGAGTCTCTGTAAATAAATCAGAGCCTTATACCTTTGTAGCTATACTCTGCTACATTCTTTGGGAGATTAGTCACTATATGGGAATACACAGACTAGACTCACTTGAACCAGCCTTCAGATTCTGTGCTTTGTGTTATGATTTTTCTTTCTTTTCTTGGATTAACCCCTATTTATGCTTAGTCAGAATGCTAGGATGAGTGCTTAAGGCTGTGGAATAAGGCTTGGTCATCACAACTAGCCAAGTCCATCATTGTCTTCTGTTGTAACAACATTGCCTGACAATGCACAATCAACCTTTTATGTATAATAATGATGCTCAAGGATAATGAACACTAGGACAGAGAAACACACAATAAGTATGTAGTATTATTAACTGACCTTGTACAGTATTTAAAGGCTCACTCTTGCTGGTAAATCTCCAGCTTCAAGCTAAAGTTTATTCCATCTCATTCTACTCTCAAGCTAGTCACACAAAGTCTTGAAGCACAGAGAGTCAACACTGGTACACATAAGTGGACTCTAACAGAAGGCTTGAACACAAAGCCATGTTAATTTATCATATGCTAGTTGATCACATGCAGCTTGAGCCTAACACTTTGGTTTTACTTACCACAAGAGGTTTTGTGTTTTCTGCCTACAGAGAGTCTCTAGTGAAACAACGTCTGGTTTATCATTGTCTAACCATTCTAGGGCTTGAGTCCTTTTTGCCTCTCTCATTCCTTCAATCATTTCATTGATCACTTCTTCAGCTCATATCCAGTGTACTCAATTCTCGAGTACTGCCTTGGCTTCAGCTTCATCCTTGGTATTTCAGATGGCCTGCCAAGTCTATTTAATATTGAACAGCTTTAGCCAGCCATCAGAGATCCCTCCTCTTGTTCAGCCCTCAGGCAATTGAGCTTTGGGTTTTTATGATTCCTTCAGTGTGTTCAGAGTGACAGGACTAGGTATATTCAAATGTGCATATAAATAAGTATCTATAGGGCTAATATAAGTCTGACCAGTGGTATTCCAAGACACATCATTAAGTTCTTTGGCTGACTGAGTGGAATCATTCACTCATTGGCCTTATCTTTTATCTTTTCAACCTTCATATCCTTCTCAAGTTCTTCAAGCTTATTGGCTTCCTTCTGCAACTTGGCTATCTGGGTTTGGATCTTCTCATAGGTTCATTTCTTCTTCAGACAGTTTTAGGACAAGTGATCTTTCTTTCCACAATTGAAGCACTTTCCTTCTCTCTTTAGTCTGTCAATGTCTATGGGCTTCTCTTGTCCAGTATAAGTAATTCCAGTATCAGTCTTCTGGGTGGAATAAGAGGATGTAAGAGTTGAAGAAAGCATGTTGGGCTTGGCAGAGGTCAGCATATGAGCCTTCCCTTAAGGAGAGGGCTTTCTGTCATCCTGCCTATAAGCATTCTCTGTCTTCTGTTGGTGCTGCTTCTTGTTCATTATAATGATCCAAGCCCTTCATTTCTTATATCCCTTCAGGATGTTAAAGCCAATGTCAGAGATTATCTTAGTATAAGAGGAGAGAACCCTATTCTTCAGATACTCCACTAGGCATCCATCATCTTTAATATTGTCAATAACTCCAGCCAGCTCAGGAAGTCATTCAAATTCATCAAAATACTCACTGGCCATCTGTTCTTCTCTCTATAGGTTCTTTATCTTCTTCTTGTGGACTTCTTGAACTGCCAGGTCAATAAATTTGTCATGCACTATCTGCTTGAAGGTTGGCTAGAATAGCAGTCAATGGTGCTCTCTAGTTGTAGAATAAAGGTTCTGACTTTTCAAGATCCATCAGACTTTAGCCTTATCTTTGAAGTAGGACATGGAAAAGACAACTTGATAGATGTCAGCTATTAGATATGCTGAATATACCTCAAAATATTGCTCACAGTCAGTTAAAAAGCAATCAATATCATTAGAGTTCCTCTTAAAGGGCTACAGCTTTTATAAAAGGTCAGATTTACATTGTATAAGAACTGAATTGTTGACAAAAGGTCCTATTGGGTTTGAGTAGTCACTAAAGGATAGTATCTTCTGATGTGACCCAGGAAATGAATGAAGGGAGTAGTCATTAGTGATCAGGCTTCTAGTGACTTGATCTACTTCCTTTCTGATGATCCTCCCATTGATGACCATGAACTCCTGTTTAGTGGCTTCAGAGTCATCCTCTTTAGCCTATTCACTGAGTCTAGCTTCATCAGCAGGAGGTTGTCCTCTCATCAGTTGGCTTCTCTTTAGCTTTCAGAGATATCTGATTGGGTTCTCAGCCTGTAAGATTTATAGTCACCAGTAGCATATGGAGGCTGTGATGGTAGTTCAGATATTTAGTGCCAAGTAAATAGCCCATTTCAGAGAAATAGATAGCATGTTCAGCATTAGTTGGATGTTAAACTGAGATTGATAACCCAGAAGATTGGCCAGAGTGTTAGGCTCAAGCAACATGTGACAGACTGACATGTGATAAACCAATATGGCTTTGCATTTGAGCCTTCCATCAGAGTTCCTGTTTGATCAGTTGTGCAGTGTTATCAAGGCATATAGTATAGCTTGAGAGAAGAATGAGTGTGTATAAACTTTAGCTCAAAGCTGGAGTATACCAGCGAGAGCTGTGGGTCTTATATACTGTTCTGTGCATACTAATAATACTCCTACTTATTGTGTCCTTCTGTGTCCATAGTGCCTGTTGTCCTTGGGCATCGTAGTTGTATATAATAGGTTGATTGTGTGGTCAGGCCATCCATCGTCAGGTTGAGTTAGTTGTGATGACTAAGTCCTTTCCACCATTCGAAAAGGAAAATGTTCTGACTAAGCATAGGGGTTAAGGAAAAGAAATTAATGAATTGTAACATTACTCTTCCCTTAAGACCATCATCCTGATGGCTCAATTAAGGGAGAGTTCGTATTCGTGTATGATGTCATCCACTGTTATATACTTTTTGTTTACCCACTTATTGGATTCAGGGCTGTATCCCTTCCAACTGATGAGGTAGTCGATGGTGGTTGTCATTCCACCTCCTTTTACTTTGACTTTTTGTAGCTTGTAATTTAGGATCTGATTGATTTCATAATGTTCTTCATTATTGATGAGGTCCAGAGGGGGTGGAGGAGGTTGCTGTTGGTTGGGGAACATGGAGGCAATGTATAGTGACAGTAAGGATTCGTTGAAGATGTCGTGAATCTTCCAGGATGCAGGAAGATGTAATTTGTATGCATTATGGCTGATTTTGGTAAGGACAGAGAAAGGTCCTGTTCTTTTATCGGCCAATTTTTTCTTTGGTCATGGTAGATGGAGGTGGGTAGTATTCAGCCACACTTTGTCATTTGAGGCATATTCATGTGCGGTTTGTCAGTGTTTATCATATTGTGACTTTATCGATGCTATGGCCTTTTCGAGTGCCGTCTTTGTCTCGGTGTGTATTTTTGTTATGGTAGTGGCAAAGTCTGCTGAGGCAGGGGTTGAAGTGTGTAATCGGGTGGTCTGGTAGACCGGGGGGTGTTGTCTATAGTTTATGAAAAAAAGAGGTTTTACTGGTGGTGGAATGTACTCGATTGTTGTGTTGGAAGGCTGTGAGTGCAAGCCATT